ATTTGACAAATACAGATAATTATTTGAAATACTGTTACTACGATTTATTACTTTTATACGATTCGATATTTTATATCAATAGCTTTTAATCTTGTATTTAAAATTAGAATTTGTTTTACCACGGTAAATTTAGTAACATTACAGTACAAGCGAATGTCAAATGAAAATAGGAATATATGTACATACTTTTCGTAGTTGAAAATTGTACCTTAACTTATAGTGAAAATCCCTAAAACGTTTGTGTCAAAACAGCTGATTGCAGAAATTGATGAAAACGAAAATTCGTATTAATTGAAAAGCTACTGAAAAGTAGGTTAAAAAAGGTCAAATATCAGTCACGTCATTGTTGAGTCCCAATAAACGATTGTGATTATTTCAGTGATATACAATTGTCAAGTGTGAATATTTTTACCATAACAGATGTTTATTGTAAGAAATGTCACAAATTGATATCCAGGATTTATTTGATAAAAGCAGGTAAAATAATCATTTGTAAACAATAAATTTCAATAATGTTTTGCAGATAATAATATTGTTTTGTCATTTCTTTAATGACAAATAGTGATACTTAAATGAATATACTTAATATTTTGGAATAACAAATTTTTCATTATTAACATATGGATACTATATGAATGTATGAAATATCATTTAAATGTAATACTATCAAATTAAAGTGTAATCATAATAATTTTCAAATAATATTTTAATTAGTATAGATACATAATATTATTATAGCATATGTCTAAAACTTTTTATGTATAACAACATACATTGCATAAGAATAGTTAAAAATATATTTCTGTTATATGCAATATTGTTATATTTATCTATTTCATAATTGTACAAGTATTAAGACATTTTATACTGTTATTTATGATGTATTAGAAATAATAATTACCAATTAGAATATTTTTTATATTTTAAGGTAAACTTTCACATTATTAGCATAAGTAACTAATATTAATTCAAATATTATAATAAATATTAAAATTAAATATATTGTTCAGGTTTCCCAGTGGTTGGCCTCTTGTATTTATATTGTTATATACTCCTGTGGGTCTCTTACTTGTATTATTACGATTACTAATTGCTCTACAATTTTGGCTTCTTGCAACACTGTTACCTGATTGTAATATTCTTCGAACATTCTTAAATCATGGATTTAGTTTTGCCTTTGGTATCATGGTAAAAATTCCTGATGGTGAAGTTAAAGACAAGCAATCAAAGATTATAATTGCTAATAATGTGTCTGTCCTGGATCATTTTGCATTGTACAAAGCCACACAAGCATTAACTCCTACTGTCTGGGAACTACCTACTGCCTTAAATAATGCACTGGGTTTACAAATAATGGATATGAGTAGCAAAGAGGCTCTAATTGCCAATATAAAGCAGTTTCTTTCTACATCAAAAGGCAACATTGCAGTTCAACCTGAATTTGGTACAACTAATAGTCGTGTTGCCTTATTAAAATTCAGCTCATGGCCATTTACTATAGAAGCATCTATTCAACCAGTTGCAATTAAAGCATCAAGGCCAGAATTCATACCTATTCATTTAACTTCATTGGCATCTAGATGGTGGACAGATGTGTTTTGGTTTATGTTTGTTCCTTATACAATCTTCACATTTAAGTACCTGAAAATCAAACAAAATACAGATGGTAAAGCATTAGTAAGGGAAGTAGAACAAGACATAGCAACTAGTCTTGGACTTCAAACAAGTTCTCATACTGTATCAGACAAAATAGAATTTGAAAAACGCTGCATAATGGAAAAAACACAAAGTAGAAGATTCAACAGTTCTCCAAATTCACAAGTTATACATAACATTGAGGTACAGAGAATGGTCCAACAAGTCAGTGAAGTGCTTCCACTAGTCCCACATAATGTGATTCTCAGAGACCTTTGTATGTAAATAAATAATTATTATTAACTCATATATTATATTAATAGCTTTTATTCTTTAAAAATTTAATTTATTAATGATTATTTTAGTGAAAACACGCAATGTTGATATTACAATTGCCAATATATTAGATGGCATAGTTACTTATACTCCAGAATCATCTCAGACTGTTACACCATCAGTACCATTGAATCAATTACAAAAAAGTACAGTTAAAACTACCAGTAATCTAGGAACTTCTTCCTTCCAGGAGAGAAAAGCTAAAATGATAAGGGAAGCTTGGGAAAGGTATGTTCAAAAACATGGACTTAAAAATTGTTGACATTTTCATTGCAATTTTATTCTGGTTATTGTATCTTTATTGGTTACAAGTATGTAATGTTTTGTCGTATGTGTATTTACTATTACATAATGTGAATATAATTTTATGTCTAAAATATAACTGTATATTTTTAAAACTACCTATCCTTTTTACATAAATATTATAGTATTATTGTGAAAAGCACATTTTGGAAGACAGTATTTACAGTAAGTTCACATTTTTCTAATTGTTATAAGTAACAATAGAACAAGTAAAATAAATCTTATTTATACATAAATTATTT